ATTCACTCTGCAGCATGAAGATTGTTGATCTGCACTCACCGTCAATCAGTACCCCGCTCCATATTATGGCCTGCAGGTTCGCTTGCACTAGGAATGTGCGTGCAAGAAGAGTCGGCACAGTTGTCTCCGTCTGGGTAATACACGTTCATGCAACAACAAGAGTCAATTCACGTTATATCATTCTCTAAAATCGAATAGCCAGAGGAGAAGCTGCAGTATGCATGAGACGTACCACGGATGCTGTTCTTGGGCAGGAGGTCGTTGCGTATGCCCTAGAGTTCAATGGCGGTGGAGATGGTGACGTGCGGTATGTAGGTTGTGGAGATGCACGAGGAGTTGGGAAAGTTGACGATGACCGGGCTCGTGGCATTCGAAACGAGGTTGTGCGCGGCGGCATACTGTGATGTTGCTCGTCGTGAAATTGTCGAACGGTGGAAAGTACCCTAATGAATAAACGCGACCCAACCGACGCGCTGGGTCCCCCCAAAAAAGCCTCATACGGATAACGAAGCGGTCGAAGAATACTGCCCAAAGAAATATGACTTATGAGGACGACAAAAGGAAGCAGACTGCGTGTGGAAGCCAACCCAAGTAAGGCGACTAGTAGCGTCCTCCAAACACTGCTGATACAGCCCTGAATTGACCAAATGCAGAGAATATATATAAAAATTATGTACTCCAGTAACGATATGAATTACGCGACAGAGACAAGTTGTCGCATGGTATTCAGGACGTTTCCTTTGTTCTCCCGCAGAGCCTGTTCCGCCTGGACCTTTGTGACTTGAAATTCATTCATCTGGCAAAGACCAAGACGACATCGAGGTTAGTACTGTGTGCTGTAAGCTGCCCCCTCGATTTCCAAAACAATGGGACACGTACAATCAGCTCGACATCCTCTTTTCCAATGACTACTTTGGCCAATTCTTTGTCCCTTGCTGATTGTTGAGCCTTTTGCTTCTTGTTGACGTCGGTGAGGAAAGACATGGCCTGTGTAACCAGAAAACGCGAGTAAGAACGCATCCCTTAGGACTCTGCAAGTGTCATTCCTGAATCTGCGCTTGTATTATTGTACCTTGCCAAGCTTATCCTCGTCCACGTTATCCCCGGCTTCGTCGTCAAAAGCCGAGACGTTCTGCATCTCCTTGTTGGCCTGCGCCTTTACGCCCGTCTCAACTTGCTCCTCGTCGCCATCCTCCGCACCGTCCACGTCCTTTGCTGGTGCCACCTTGGTCGCGGTTTGCTTATCGTCTGACATTACTATTTCGTTGTGTATTGTGCTTCTGCTCCTGGAAGCATACTGTCAGGGTGAGGAACACGAAAGCACCAGACGCTTTGCTGAGTCATGCACCATGGTTACCGATCCCTCACTGATTCAGCTGCTGCTATTGCTTACGCAAGCATGAACTTCATTTCGGAAGTGCATTTGTTGCTATGCGCGTTTGGGAAATGAACAAACCCATCGAGTTTATGCGCATTTCGGGCATCTCCGTAGAGCAACGACAGTAAGCCCTCCCACAAACAGCATCGCACCCACATAAGAAGCAATGTCCGGCCGCATACTCTCGAATGCTTTCAGAAGCACTGCACAGTCGTGCAGACGGACTCCTCTTACATGCAGTGCGTTCGGATTAGCCGTATCAGTCGCATGACTTTGGAAATGCAGAAATTTAAAGATTTTTTTTTGTTTTCAATAGCCGGCGCTCTCTGTGCCTCTGCCACCCGTGGGATTCAGACTGTGAGTGAATGGGCATTCTATGGCTTTGGAGCTGTTCTTTGGCGTTTTCCTGACCAAACATTTGCTTCTTCAGGGCACCCGCTCTCTCCTCACCCCTTCCGCCCGCGCCTCTCCCGCCCATACCTTTGCCCGCCCATCTCTAAATGGTGGGAAAGCAATGCGTGTTGAATGATCTTGCGAGCTTTGCATCTTACCGCATGAATCATCTTTTCAGTGTTCCGGTCTATGGCGACTTTCTCGCGTACGAAGCCTCACGTGAACATCGGAACCATTGGTCACGTCGATCACGGAAAGACCACCCTTACCGCCGCCATCACCAAAGGTAGGTTTGCCTGTCCGTGAAGCTTATGACGCTGATTGTGAATGAACAAAGACTGATGCTGTGTTACCCAAAAGTTCTTGCCGAGAAGGGAGGAGCTGATTTCCGTGACTACGCCTCGATTGATAAGGCCCCGGAAGAACGTGCCCGTGGTATCACCATCTCCACCACCCACGTCGAGTACGAGACTAATACTCGCCACTACGCCCACGTCGACTGTCCCGGACACGCGGATTATATCAAGAACATGATTACTGGAGCTGCTCAGATGGTACCTACATCGTTAATTTTCTGGCGAATTTGCGGCGGCGGAAGCCTTGACACACATGGTTCTGAAATTTCTAGGACGGAGCTATCATCGTTGTGTCTGCCACCGACGGTCAAATGCCTCAGACTCGTGAGCACTTGCTTCTCGCCAAGCAGGTCGGAGTGTCCCGACTTGTTGTGTTTATCAACAAGGTCGACGCTGTGGATGACCAGGAAATGTTGGAGTTGGTACGTGGACCGCGTGCACGTCTAAAGGACTGTTTGGCGCAGCCCAGCTTATCGCATTGCGTTCTGAACAGGTGGAGATGGAAATGCGCGACTTACTGGGCGAGTACGGTTACGATGGTGAAGAGACCCCCATCGTCATGGGTTCGGCTCTGTGCGCTTTGGAGGACCGCGAGCCGGAGATTGGGCAGCAAGCTATTCTCAAGCTCATGCAAGCTGTCGATGACTACATTCCCACTCCCATCCGTGACCTCGAGAAGCCCTTCTTGATGCCTATCGAGGACGTGTTCTCCATTGCTGGTCGTGGTACCGTCACCACTGGGTCCGTGGAGCGAGGATTCATCACCAAGGGTGCCGATGTGGAAATCATTGGTTACGGAGAGACCATCAAGACCACTATCACTGGAGTTGAAATGTTCCACAAGGGTTAGTCAGAGATTGGTCGCGAGTGAACGTCGTTTGGATTCCGGTTCATTTCCTCACACGGGTGTTTGCTTGTCTATCATAGAGCTGGAGCGAGCTGAAGCAGGTGACAATGCTGGCTTGTTGTTGCGTGGATTGAAGCGCGACCAACTGCGTCGCGGTCAAGTCATTGCCAAGCCCGGCACCATCACTCCGCACAAAAAGTTCCTGTCTCAAATGTACATCCTCACCAAAGAAGAAGGAGGCCGTCACACTCCCTTTGTGGAAAACTACAAGCCGCAGCTGTATGCCCGTACCATGGACGTGACTGCGGCCCTCCTGTGGCCCGACACGGACGCCGGCAAGGCTGCCCGCAACGAAGGCAAAATGATCATGCCCGGTGACAACGTGGAGCTCCTCATTGACCTGTCCACTTCGGTCGCGATTGACGAGGGCCTGCGATTCACGGTTCGTGAAGGAGGAAAGACTATCGGTACCGGTGTTGTCACCAAGATTCTCGAATAGAGAAGGCGAAAGACAGATGTTTTACATATTCCTTTCGTTTTCGTTCTCGCTGGTGTGGGCGTTCGTTTTTATACCGCACTGTATTTGTATTTATGCGCTTTTGTTAATGTCTTGAACCTTTTTTTGCAAAAAACATCAACAACAACGATCGTGCGTTTGGAAGGGGGATCGTGTAACTGGACTGCAAAAGGTACCAGAATGAATTTGAGGGGACATGCAGGGAGAGGGAATGCGAAGGCTCGAATCGAGTCCACAATCGGGGAAACGCGACAATACCCCCCACCCCCCCTTCCCGTCCCCTGCTACCGTTGAAGAACGGTGCATCCCATCAACGAATGTTTCACAAAACTTGTCGGCATATCCCGGCAACAGCTTCTTGCCGTATAGATTCCCCATCAACCTTTTGTGAAAAATACCGTCGAATCTGGCATGATTCCCCATTTCTTCAATTTTGCTAGCTCATTTATTGCTGAGGACAAAGCCATTCAGCATGCCTCTGACGTGCACGCTGTGCAGCCAGGATTTCACTCGGCATTTCTTAGACCAAGCTTTGACAACAAGTTTGAATGGTTTTATCCGCTCTGATATGCAACGCAAACCAAGGACAGCATCAGGTTGATAGTGGCAAGCTCGTGTTTCCAGTGTTTCCGATACTCTGCAGAGGGTTTCATGGCTGAGAGGACACCCATTGGCCACGCTTCTTATCTGCTGCACGAAATGAGATCCTACTCACTATCAGACGTGCACCAAGGGTCGGTCTAATCGGCGTCCTCAGAAAGCAACGAGAACTTGAGATCTTCCAAGCCGAATGCTTCTCAATCAGATGTTTGGCCACCATCCTATGACCCGTCCACGGCAGTGTGCCAAAGGCGTGATCCGCTCCCCACGCAGGGCGCCGACGTACTTACTGCCTACTCCCCGCATCGCAACCACCCCCACTTGCCGCCTCGACCACTCATCCCCGCAGTTCCCGCTCTACATCTGCAATCGGGCGAGCAAACGTGATGGCGAACGCCGTTATTGTTATGGTTGGATTTGCACTTTTTGATTTCTGTAGGACCGCGCGATATCAAAGTTTTTCAAAGCAGCCTCGACCTCCGCCAGCAACGCGCCCGCGCCCGCGTCGGGTTCATGGTGAGCATAGGGCAATTGAGCGCGGTGGAAGACGGGAGTGGGACAGAGGAGTGTTGCTGTTTGCCGTTGGTGCTGGCCGATAGTAATTTTTGAGAGAGAATGTCGACGCTCTGATGATTGATCAAGGGCAGAAAGGAGATGTGGCGATCAACGAAAAAAAAAATCAAAAACTCTATCAAAGTTCATGTCCTTGTCATATTCCGCCGCTACAGTGGAGTGTCAAAAGCAGCCGATGTAGGTCGCGTTTTTGACAGTTTTCCTGGGGCGCGCCTAACGTACTGTACGGTAATCCATCATCGCGAAAGCAGTCTCTTCGGTGATCCCGCAAAGTGCATCATCGGACGCTGCCAAAGAACGAATTGCAAATGCAAGAAGGAAAAAAGCAAAAGCAAGGGGTCCCGCCGGGGCTTGAACCCGGGACCTCCTGCACCCGAAGCAGGAATCGTGCCACTAGACCACGGGACGTTTTTTTATATCTAAAGGGTTCTTAGCAAGATCATGCCACTAGACCATGGGACGGCATGAATGCAGTGTGTGCACCTCAGCGGAATCCTATCGTCCCGACATGTGTTATCTGAAAGTGTTCTCAGCTGGCTTGTAAGAGAATAGCCTGCCCGCCCTCATTTACCTTCAATCAAAACGGTGGTCGCTCTCCAGGTTCCGGGATGCCCCGGGATGGTCACAATTGAGGTCGCACCGTATTGATCCCTGATGAAAATTGCTCCACTTGGCCAGAAATACGAAGCCATAAAAAGCAAGGACTTGTCTGTGTGGAAAGAGTACTGCTTTCGCGTCATTGAAATACGCAGGCAGAGATTATGAAAGAGGCAGAAAGCGGCCTGTCGGACTGATAGGATGACGCCGCTTCACGGTCGCCCCAGTGTCGGAAGCCTATGGCTCGCGCAGGTAGCGGCATTTCGCAATCGTAAAGAGAGGTCGGCGCGCAGCCGATATCCCTGAAGGAACGGCTTGTCGGCGGGTGGCTACCGCCATCGTGAAGCGACCGTTCTATCACACAAGGTTTCATGGTTATAACCAAGATACTATGTACATACCCAAACGGGCGGTGGGATATATATATCTTCCAGCACTAATGCCTATCTATCAAATGCTCCGCAACCGCCTTCCAATCCGTCCACGGCTGCGTGTCTGTCTCCCTATCCACACCACATTTTGGGCATCCAAAACCGCCATTCCCACTACTAGGTCCGGCGCCCGCTCTCAACAGGGCCAACTCTCTCTCAACGTCTCTAATGGCGTCCATTTCATGTTCATTGTACTCGTCGTCGGCATACATGTCGTCGAGTTTTTGTTCAAGGAAGGCGACGGCGGCGGCAATGTCGGCGAGCACAGCTTCGGCGTCCCGGACCTTGCGCGCGCGGTCTGGGTCCACGAACGAGGAGGGGGAAGAAGAGGAAGGGGATAGTGTGGAGGATGTGGTTGGGGACCGGGAGGAGAACAGTGGCATGAGTTTCAGGTACCGATGTGAGGCGGGTGTTGGTGGCATGTGGGTGGAGGAAGCCGTGGAATGGCGGGAGGATTTGTGCACGTAGAGCGGCAGTAGTTGTTGAAGCATTTTGGGTGCGATTGTTTGTGGGTTTCTTGGGGTGCTGGGCGAGCTGTTTCTTCTTTGTTACTAACCCTAACCCTAAGTCTCTACTGCTCAGCTGTTGCTGTTAAGAAAGGTGTGATAACCAAAAAAAGCAGGTCCGACCCGCCCCACACGAGATTTCAATCAAGATATGGTCATTGGCCAACCTGTTACAGAAGTACAGAAGTGAGGGGTTACGGTGCACACATACGTGGCCGTGCGGATTCTTTTGCGGTTTCTTGTGTGCGCTGAGCGCTAAAGCTGGTACAAATTTGATCTGTGGCAGTCAGTGCCTTCCAAAGTGGGATAAGACAATCACGTGGACGGCTTATGGGGTCCGTTGAACCTTCCCCATCATCGCGTCAATTCTTCCTAATGTCATCGAGCGTCGCCAACACGAAGCAGAGATCCGTTCAGTCTCAAACTCTTCATTAATTTATATAACTATTGGGCGGGGAAGCAAAGCCTCCGTTCACTCTCAGAATCTTCATTATTATGTATAAATATTGCCCGAGGATTTGTTCATGCGATCAAAATTATTCCTTCACTATTTCCCCTTGTTTTTCTCCTTCTTTTCTATGCCTCGATGGCGGGCCGGGGTCGGCTGCTGACTTTCAACACCATCTCATCGCCAATGTCCGATATCGCTTGAAGGGCATACGTGAGATCTTCGATGGTGTGGGCGGCGGAAAGACAGAATCTGACTCTGCTCGTGATGATGGGGGTGGCAGGGTATCCGACGACAACGACCGCAATGCCGCGCTTGAGCATTTCACGGGAAAAGGCAGGGATTTTCGCCGGGTGAAAGAGGAGGAGGGGCACGACGGGGGAATCCATGTCGCCATAAACGATAAAGCCCAGGTTGCGCAGACCCTGCGAGAAGAAGCGAGCGTTGCGGGCGAGTTGGGCAATTCGGGTGCGGCCTTCGTCGCCGCCTTCTTCGCCCGAGATGATGCGGAGGGACGTGTGGATCTGTTGGAGGACAGGTGGCGTGATGGCTTCCGAGTAGACGGACGAGTAGTTGTGGAGGCGGATTACATCAATGATATCTTTGCGACCAGCAATGTAACCACCGGAGGCGCCAAAGGATTTGGTGAAGGTACCCATCATAATGTCCACGTCGGCGGGGTCCACGCCAAAGTAGTCGCAGATTCCGCGGCCATTGGGTCCCATGGCCCCAATAGAGTGAGCTTCGTCCAGATACAGGTAGGTCTGCGGAAAGTTCAAGCATGAGAAATTCCCTACTCGTTTGGATGCTTATACGCAAAGTCCAACGTCGAGATGTCTCCGCTCACCTTGTATTTCTTTTTCAAAGCGACGATCTCCGGCAGCGCACAAATGCTGCCTTCCATCGAATACAGTCCTTCCACGATGATCAAAATCTTCTTCCAGGGACGGTGAGTCCGTGGTTGACCATGCGCGATTGATTTGCGCAAGACGGCTTCAAGATCCTTGGAATCTGGCGAAATGAAATAAAATACACGAGTTCTAGCAACTCCACAGGTCGGGCGAGAAGGACTGATCGCATTCGGGAGAACCACTTCTGGCTAATCCTTACCATTGTGCTTAAAAGTCTTGATGGTGGCGCCTGATATTCTAGCTCCATAAATCAAAGACGAATGGTTCAACTCATCAGACAGGATGAGACAGCCCTTCTGAACCAGCGCCGGAATGGTGGTAGAATTGGTGGCGAATCCCATGCTGACAATCATCGAATCTTCAGTGCCAATGAAACGAGCGACCAAGGCCTCGGTCTCGAGGTGCAGTTCAAAAGTTCCGGCTTCCATGCGACTGCTGCAGGTTCCGACGCCCCATTTTCTTACAGATGCTTCGACGGCATCGGCGCATGGCCCTTCGCTCTGCGCAAAACCAAGGTAGTTATAGGATGCCAGATTCAGAACCTCGGTGGTCTTTCCGGTGAAGCTATAAGTCAAGGAATTAGAGTAACGGTGAGCACGCGGTTTGCATACCATGGAGAAAAGCTTCAGAGACATACGTGTAAGTCTTGTTGAAATCGTTGGTCTCCCGATCCAGTAAGTGCACGGTTCTTCCTGGGACCTTGGTGATGGGTCGGTTGAACACGTCCCGGATGCGCATGTAGAGACGGCGGTGATAGAAGGTGTCAAATCCAGAACTCAGCGATGCATAGCCCTACACGCCAGGCGTAGCAAGGGAAGGGTAAGCATTGGGGGAGAAAGAGAGGGAAGCTTCGGTTCAAGGAAAATGGAATAGTTCTTCTGCCTAACTCTGCCCCTTCCTTGACCATCTATCCCGCCTCGCTTCGCTCGGCCTCTCCCAGCTTCGCTCCCCATCCCTTCGCTCTGCTCGGATTCCGCAGCCATCTTTCCCACTACCTCGCTTCACTCGGCCTCGCCCAGCCCCGCTCCACAGTTCCTCGCTCTGCTCGGACCACGCTCGCCCTGCTTGGACCACGCTCGACCTGCTTGGACCACGCTCTCCCTTGCTCGGGACTACTTACATTTTGAGCCTGCAAGTGCCTGTATTCGTGCTTTTTAAATCTCATTCCAAAAAAGTCACGGATATGACCAAAGATGATGAGAAAAAAATAACTCATGTAGGTGGTGATGAGCACTCCGATGGGGGTATCTTCGATCAGATGGTCGGTAGATTTCTCGAGAGCGGCGTTGGGATCACCTCCATCGTGAGCAGTAGTAGTTGTTGTTCCACGGTACAATGCGGGGGGCGTGTGGTGGTGGTCGTCGCCGGCAGGTTTGTGCATGATGTCGGCCGAGGATATGGGAGGACGGGAGGAGTCAAAATGAGCTCGTTTGCCTTTGCCCATTTTGGTGTGGAGAGGGTGTAAAAAAGTGCGTATGTGCGAAATTGGGTCGGAGTGGGGTAGTCTGTATCAGGGTTCAAGACGACGACAGCGGAGGGACAATATTCTTCGTGTGCGTGTGTGGTGTGTGTGGTGCGAATCAATATATCATCTGGACGTATCGATTGAGCAAGACGAGACAAAACCCAGGGCGAGATATAACAGAACAGCAGACCAGGCTTGTCGTCGTCGTCGTTGCCGTTGTCGTTGTGGTCGTCGTCGTTCGGGCAGACGGCAAGTTCAAGCCCGTGTCCGTGGCAGTGCGATTTTTGGCGTGATTAATCAATCCATTGGGGCCGGCCGAACGAACAGACCGAACTAAATCCAACCGCTGATCCAACCGTACTATATGTAAGCCGCAACATTCTTCATCTTTTCGCGCCATCCTTCTGCTAGGCGCATCACGTGCCACTAGCGATCACCCTAAGGAAAGGATGGGATTGCCCGATTGCACAGTGACTGACTGACTGATTTGACAGACTTGACTTTCTACAGTGGCTGAAGTGACTGAAGTGACTGATGGTTCCACGGTCTTTTGCTTGCTCCCGACATCTTCCGTATTCGAGTACCAATCAACTCTCATCCATCAAATTTGTGCTCCTTGGCACTTGCACGTTGAAGTCAACCAAATTGTTAACCATCCACGTCTATCGATACAAGGGAATGAGTCGGCGAACTTGCCACGTATGTATCATAATTATAAACGACGGAGACATGCAACCCGTGTTTCCACGCCCTTTATCTCTTACGCAACGGCTCCATAGCGCGTGCAAGGAAATCGCGCGACACGCCCACCACAACATACGAGCGAATGCTGGCTTGTCCACCACCGAGCGCGTGCCACGACCGAGTGCAAAAATGCAGCGTTTTTCCCTCGTCTGTCGCGCGTTGAAAAACTCACCGAAACCTCCGAAAAGTAACATGATGATGATGATGTGGAGAGTGAATAATGAACAAGGTGGAGGAGGAAAGAGAAAAGAAAAGAGAAAGAAAAAGGGGGACTGACTACCTGCCTGCAAGAACTCTCCACACAAA